CTCAACCGCAAGGATCCGATCGCAGTGTGCACCGCTGGACCTCAACCAGATAGTTTGCCAGATAAAATCCACAAACACACAACAAACACACAATCACAAACACACGACCACAAACGCGCAACCACAAGCACACAACCACAAACACAATCACAAACCCACAATCACAAACACAATCACAAACACACAACTACAAACACAACTACAAACACACAATCACAAACACATAACCACAAACACAGAACCACAAACACACAACCACAACCACACAACCACAAACACACAATCACAAACACAATCAAAAACACAATCACAAACACGCAACCACAAACACACAACCACAAACACACAAACACACAACCACAAACACACAACCACAAACACAACCACAAACACATCCACAAACACAACCACAAACACACAACCACAACCACAGGTACAAACACACAATCACAAAGACACAACCACAACCACAACCACAACTACAAACACATAATCACAAAGACACAACCACAACCACAACTACAAACACATAATCACAACCACTACCACTACCACAAACACAACCACAAACACATCCACAAACACACAACCACAAACACAACTACAAACACACAATCACAAAGACACAACCACAACCACAACTACAAACACACAATCACAAAGACACAACCGCAACCACAACCACAACTACAAACACACAATCACAACCACTACCACAACCACTACCACAACCACAAACACACAACCACAAACACACAACCACAAACACACAACCACAAACACACAACCACAAACACAACCACAACCACAACACAGCACACAACCACAGCACACAACCCGAGGACCCACAAGCAACATCGAGAACTACAATACTAACGACTATGGCAACATGCTCCTCACTATGGCATCAAGACAAATGATTGAAATGTCATGGTGGGGATCACTCGAAGTAAAGTAATTTTAAATGTCTTCAAGCAGCTGACTTCATTAACCCTAATTTGCCTCGTTCTGTGTTCATCCTTCTGCATCTTCTTACGACTCAGGATACGTGAGTCTCGCGGCTCCTCCGTCCCAAGGTGCGGTCACGGTGGAGCGGTCTCTTCTGATTCACGAACGATTTCTGCAGGATTTTGCAAGTTTGACAAACTGAAAAGACATTCAAAGACACCTTTCAGGATCATGGGATCATGAAGGATATATTGATATATTATGTTTTTCCATGGTGAACCCCCCCATGGGACGGTCGTATTGCCCTTGTTAACCTCTCAATGTCCCCCCATGGTCGGTCACCGTTCGTCACACCGAGGCGACGCGCGTCGGGTTTGGCTCGACCGCCTTTGGAAGGACGATGGCTGCAACAAGTCGAGGTGCATCGAAGAGTAACAAGGTTCGCTACTAGTAACAAGTGCATCGCTTCTAGTAACAAGTGCCTTACTAGTAGTAACAAGAAACTATTAGTAACAAGGTTCGCTACTAACAAAGGGCATCGCTACTAGGAGCGTTCGGACGCTACTAGGGGCTCCTGGCATCGCTACTAGGAGCAATGTTCGCTACTAGTAGCTCCTGACTCCTGACATTACTAGGAGCATTCTTGCTAGTAACAAGAAGCTACTAGGTGGAGACCATGGCTAGTACAGTGATCGAAGATGGGGAAAACCGCGACCGGAGCGTTTCGTTTCTTAACGACCGAAGCTACGGGCGGCCATTGCTATTCGGAGGCCATCGCTAGTAAAGCTTTCCAGTAACTATAGAAGCTACTAGGTGGCTTCGTTTGAGAACTTCGGGATATGTCAGGTGTTTTTTTGCCATAGACGATGTCAGGTGAAAGGATTTTGGGTGGTGGTGGTGGTAGGTAGCAGAGTCTATGTGGATACTTTGGGTCGTGAGATCTGTGACGTGAATTGTTGAAACTTGTGCATTGCGACCGCACAGGGGGCCAGTTGACCCTGACGAACCACCACCACCACCACCACGACGACTGCCTAGTACTGCTTCCACCTACTACTACTACTGCTGCTACTACTACTTCTACTTCTACTTCTACCCCTACTCCTACCCCAACCACTACCACTACCACTAGCACTACCACACTTTCATCACACAAAGTCACTCGGGTCAACTGGATCAACTGGGTTCAACCGGGTCATTTGGGTCAAGCGGGGACACCCTGTTCAACTGGGTCCACCGGGACAGCACATTTACTAGCCCCCTACGCCGACGCACTCGACTTGTGCTTCGATGCTCAGGCATGTAATGGCATGTTGGAGTCATGCACTGAGATCAGATCTTTGCAATCGATTTCTACCGATTTCCACCGGTCTGTTGCTGAGGCGTCCTTCAAGTGCTGCCAGCAGTGTACGTGGAAGTCCAGGCTGGGACCACTTCCGAGCGAAGCTCACCCCATCAGAGGGGGCCCATTCATCACTTTCTTTTTTCCGAGCGAAGCTCGAAACCATTGGCTCGGCTAGATCCACATGTTTCATATGTTTGGGAATGACAAGTACCCACGGGAATGTTGCAGCATGCCTCTTTGCAGAAAATCCCATTGCTCCGGCTGATCAGGCTCCACGCGCTCCGATCATTTGCAGAACAGTAGAGCTGCAAGGCTGGACTCCTTTACAAGACGAAGACAACGTATGGTTGGGAATGGTTTGGGTCAATGTTGATTGAAGCACAGAAGTACCATGAACCATCCTGAACCTCTTCACACCGTGTGACAGTGACATCAGAAAGAACTTCAAGAAACATCCCTACTTGTTGGACTGTCCAACTCCTTACCAGAAGTTTCGAGAAAGCGCAGAAGAGAGAACACCACCAAGGTCTGGACAATCCGTTGACCCCTGAGTCGCTCTTTGCCGTCGCTCTTCCAGTTTTCCTCACAGATCATGTCAGTCAGTCTCGAAGGCTTCATCCTCCAAAGACCTTAGGAGAAGTGGAGATAAATGATTGGTTTAGGGGGGTCCAACATAGCCATCTCAGATCAGGATGTTCTGAACTCTGAGGTGAGCCAGACGAATCGCAGATCGCAAACGCGACTTGAGGACCGGCACAGATCGCTCAACTGGATCGCTGACCGTTTTGGGAGGTGGACAATTTTGTTGGGGGACCGAGCTGGACTGAGAGTGGCGCCATCCGCCATGTCCCCCACCATCAGCCCGTGCACTTGTCCGATTCTGGGACTCCACATGGTAATTGTGTGACTTCTTTTGGTGCCAGGCAAGCCGCATCAAGTCCAACACATGCGATGTATTGGAAGAGGAGGCAGCGCTCGAAAGCGTAAAACATAAGTAACCACAAGTATACAGACTAATGGGATGTAACGAGCATAGGACATCGTATCAACATTTAGTATTTTCATGTGGAAGAACCACTCTCCAAGAGGGACCCGCATGGTTTTGAGTGTTTGCCTGTACCACCCTGCTTACCTTGAAGACAGCCGTTGAGCTCTTCAGCTTATTCACAGACTCAATGCTCCTGCCATTGCACCGATTCACCGATTTCTGATCTAAGCTTTGACTCGATGGCATACCCTCGTTTGGTCTGGAAAAAGGACTCTTGGCATCTCTTGGCAATCCATGTCTTCTCAATCAAACAGCTGTTGCTTTCACTTAAAGCAATGCAATCCAATGCAGGTCCTTTCCATTATGAGCATCTTGCAGAGACCGCGTGGCACTCAGAGCTTCTCTGTCAGCAAACTTAACTCTTGCTTTGTCAAATTTGTGTTTCGCGCTCTTGGCCGCGGGTGTATCAGTCATGTTGATGGTTACCTTTGTGAGGCGAGACTTGGCAAATTGGAATGTCCGCACCTTGGACTTTCTTTCATTCAATTTCAGACCTCCTACCTTTGGCTATCAAGCGCCTTTAGCAACTTCGCTTTGTGGCATCAGGAGACTTGCGTCCACGAAGCTGGAGTGAGTCAAGGCCTCATTCACGCACACTCTGACAATTGTATTCAGTTACACTCAGTTCCCAGGTCGAAAATGGTGAGGGAACGGCAAGGTGGCAAAGTCCGTTGAAAAGTATTGTTGAACATTGTTGACGCAGGCACTCGGACGATCTAATCAGCGGCGCAGCTGCTGGGGACGAGTAGGTTTGGGGGAAAGTATCACGAAGGACCATGAAACCAAAAAAGCGAGAGTGGAAAGCTTGTCAACAGTTGAAAAAGGAAAGCAGGTACGTGAACCTGGCGTCCCAGGTTCATATCCTCTCCAATCATCAGTAGCTTCGTTGGCCACAGACTGATGAAAAGAGCTGTGGCCCCCTGCATTCAAAACTCTTAGTTACAGAGGTTAGAGGTGGAACCCTTAGATACAGGGGGTGACACACACA